AAGTCGTCGTACTCTCCTAGTATTATGTCGTTTTTCTTAATTGGCGCTTTTGGGAGCAAAAGCCTCCTATGTCCCCAATTAGTTCGAGTTTAAGTATTTGAATTAAAGTGTAAGTATTGATGATACTTCAGACCCGAAATAGATTCGAAGATATTGAGCGCGATTATATGATGAACGAGGGTCCAAATTAAGGGCTCCCTTATTCATATAGAAGCAGGAAGGGTCCATAAAACAATATAAGTCCCAATTATGGATCTCTCAAAAATACCCTGAATAACTATCGGCGCCTCTCCCAACAATATTAGCGTCAGATTCCTAGATGGGTGAACCAGTGCAAGCGACTTCTAATTACGCCCAAAAGCACCAATTAAGAGCTTCAATGATTCCTAGAGCACAAATGAAGGCAATCAGGTCGTCAAGCACCACGAAAATCATCACGCGACTCCAAGCCCCCAGGCAATGCATTAAAGGCCCGCCGCCACCCCCAAGTAAGCCCAAGGGCACAGAATCGCGTCAGAAAACGGAGAAAAAAGACGACCCAAGTGAGACCAAGAAATTCACTCAACGAAAAACAGAAGAACACGACAAAGCACCCTCAAATCAGACGTTCTTTGACATCAAAAAGGCTGCGATCATCTCAATACCGCGCGAGGGGCCTGCAAGCGTAACTTGTGATGGAATTGAACCACTCATTCAAGCACAAAACCTGTGGCACACCCTGCAACACCTTAAGCTCCTGCAAGAGTGGCAGTCCCCACAGATGCCTGACCAACCGCTTGACTCCCAAGCCCCTAAACCGATACTCGAAGCAAATCCCTTGCTGAGGTGAACCCTAATTGCAAAACCCTATATGTATTTCCCAAAATGGGGGTACCCCCTTTTCTATTCCCAAATGAATAGAATCCCCTTGAAGGGCCCCCCACCCCCCCAAGAAGGGTACCCTATTTGCGGAAACCCCCCCCATATCCCTAAACCCTAAACCCTTAAACCCTTAAACCCCTGAAAAAGGGTAACCCCCTATTTTCGGAAACCCAAACAAAGCCAAGTGACAAGTCCCAGAACATGCCATCCACAGCCGCACTCCTCACTTGAAAAACATCTTGTAGGGCGAGGGCGGCTAGGATCTTTTGTTAAGGGAGCCTCAGCCCCTCTATGACCCTCAACCCTACACCGTACACCCTACACCCTAAACCCTAAACCCTAAGCCCTAAACCCTAACCCTAAACGCGAAACCCTAAACCCCAAACCTTCTGGCCAAGGCTCAAGGCCAGGGGCCCTACAATGGCGACCAGTGGAACCAACACGGTGCACAAATGGAGGCAGCGCATGGTGGTTTGGGTTTACTCGTAGGGTTGATGAAGGGTTTGAAGTTTAGGATGTCGACTCTCAGCCACTCTCGCACGAGCAGGGGTTGGGGTTTGGGGCTTAGCTTTGTTTGTTTTTTGCCAAGGGCTTGGGGCTTAGGGTCATTAGGGCCCTACACCCCACGTGGTGTGGGGGAGGAAAAGGTGCCGAAACGGCTTCCAGACTCCTCGCGTTTACGTGGTCACTGGGCAAGGACTCGCTCTGAATGCATTTGGGGCGAGGGGTTGTTCTCCCCTAAACCCTTAACCCTAAACCCTTGTGGGATCCTCCTTGTGCTGCTTTCGCAACACCCCGTTCTAGAAGCGCAAGGCACGTCAGGGCTGTAAGTCCAACGTCGGACCGAGTGCGAGGGGTTACCCAAAATCCTAAACCATCATCATCCTTAACCCCCAATACTAAACCCTAGACAGAACGTCTGAAGGAAGTGCACTATCGCCAAAAACCCACGCTCTGCAGCGCAATAATTTTATTCTGCCTGACCACCTCAGCTGGGAACCGCTAATTTGCCATCATGGGGGTCCCTGCTTGGATCAGGGGTGCTTACAAGTAGAATTGTTAGTGCCCTATAATTAAGGTTACAAGCATAGTTAGCCTTTTTATATCCTAAACCCTTTGAACTCTAAAGACCCCTAAAAACCCGAAGCCCTAAACCCTGCCACTCTCAAACTTCGGCCCACCAGCCGCTTGCAGCGGGGCCGGTCAGGCTGCCAATGTGGGCCTGGAACAGCGCCATTTCTTGCTTTAAGGAATTCTTGTTTGGGCATCCCACGCATGAATCCATCTTGCCGGGCAACCGACTGTGCACTTCTGTCCGCCCTGTCTGCTGGTCGCTGCTGTGGCTTCGGAGCCTCATTGTAGTCTCCCAGCTAGTATCTCCGCTCCAGGAGTGAGATGGGCAAGCACCCTGAATACAATCAACGCTTGCAGGGTTTAGGGTTTAGCTATGGATGTAATCAACACCTGCTTAAACCATCTGTAAACCCTAAACCCTATAACCCTAAACCCAAAACCCTAAATGTGGTACCCCCTTGCCCCAGATGATATGATATGCGCGGGGAGGCGACCCCAATCGCCGGAAGCTGATGACGGCCGAGACTCAGTGTGAGTACTTCCTGCTATACATAAGGGTTTATGGCAACGCTTTTTGATTCTTTTGCCCCCTCCTTTTGTTTAGGGTTTAGGGTTTAGTCATGCAGGCCCCTCCCACCTCTGAAGCAAAGGAGAAAATGCTAAAGAAACCTTCTGGAAGACGTGGCGTTTTCGCCCGCGCCCAGCCGTTCATGTCCCTGAGAATTCTCGTACTTGTCCTTTGCACGCTACGCTGGTCTAGGTGATGTTGAATCTCACACCCAGTCTTTCTCACAGAACGACTGGACGGCAATAATGGTTTCAATCCAAGATCCTGACGCCAAGAAGGCTTTGGAAAGCCAAACTTAAACACTATAAACCCTACATGGGAGATCATGGGGGGTAAATAGGGGCCCACCTAAACGTCGACTCGTAACTCAGTCTCTCAGTATAGGACCCGCCCTCGGCCCTAGCATTTGCAACAAAAGCCTCCAAAATGCAGTCAATCGTAGTCATGCACCAACACTGGCTTTTGAAAGCCTCATATACGAAACACTGTTTACCTGAAGCCTGCTCAGGCGAAGCATCTTGTGAGGTCTGGTGAGGTCGCTCACGTCCTTCGGACGTGTCCACCGCTGAGGACAAGGATGAGATGCTGAAAAGACGCCTTCTGGAAGACGTGGCGTTTTCGCCGACGTCCAGCCGTAAAGACAGGCCCCTGAGAATTCTCGCGCACTACGATACTCCAGATGACGTTGAGCCTGACACTTTCAGACCCAGTCTTTCTCAGGGAGCGATTGGACAGCTAGAATGGTTCCAATCCCCGAGCCCCACGCCAAGAAGGCTTTGGAAGAAAGCATCCTTAAACCCTAAACCCCGGTTGAACAACATAGTATTTACGGAAAGCTGCATAGCAATGCTAATATTCAAAGCCTGACCTAGACACTGTATAAGCCCTACATGGGCGTAAATTAGGCCCCGCCCCCGTTTAGCCGACTCGTAATTCAGTCTCTTTCAGTATAGGACCCCCCTGGCCCTGGGCCTTGGCCCTCTCGTCCAGAACAAACACCAAGATGTAGTCAAGCGTAGTCATGTACCAGCATTCTCGCTTGGAAGCCTCATGAAATTACGAACCACCCGTTCATTGTCTGAACCTGGGATACCAGTACCTAAAGCCTGCTTGGGCGAAGGGTCTTGTCAGGTCTGGGTGAGGTCGCTCAGGTCCTTCGGACGTGCCCACCGCAGAAGACTAGGAGATGATGCTCTGCAAGACGTCTTCTGGAAGACGTGGCGTTTTCGCCGACGTCTCAGCGCCGTTAGACACATCCCTGAAAATTGTCGCGCTTGTCTTTTGTAGGCCACGCTACCCCACACGACTTGAAGCTTGCTTATCCGGGACCCGAAGCTTTCACACTCAGTCTTCGCAGAGCTCAATACAAAATCGAAAGCCTTATGCTCTGTGCTGCCTGCCTGCTCTGTGGATGCTACGACAAGCGAGCTGCAAGGGAACCCCCTGCAGAAGTCCTCATGCCTTAGACTCATACTGAATCAGCAAGGCTTGCATCTGCTCTCGAAATCTGCTAGTCAGAGAGTGCTCAGCCGCTTCCAGGTTAGAGTCATCTCTCTCGATCAGGCCGCGGAAGTCGTAAAGAAGCTGGAATGCTTCTCGTTCTGGGTACGTCACGCTGCTAGTAACAACCAGGTACGTCAGTTTGGCTTGCTCATCCATCAAACAGCAAACACTTCCATTGTTCCACTTCAGCCGCGTTCTTTGTCCAGGCCCCAACTTCTGAGAGGAGGCTTGGAGTAGCTTGACTGCCACCTCGCGCACTTGTTCCAAGTTTTTTGCATCCGGAGCAATGATATCGGCCAGGATGGCTCTGTCCTTATGACGGCCTACACAGAGATAAGGCAGGTGTTCTTCCCCGGGGCCTATCATCGATAACGGCCCTACACTGTGTGCGGGCCCTGCGCTGTCTACCCTTGTATCTGCTGGGGTCGGACTCGCACTTCGGACCGGCTGGAGTGGGTCGAAGCGGAGCTGGCGAATCTGAGCCTGGATCTGGTTCCCGGCCGTGTCCCACACGGACGTCTCCCGCTCGCTGACCGGCACGGCCCGCATCTGCGCATCACACCACTCCGTTTTGTCCGAATCCGGACCTTCGCCACTCGCTTCAACATGCACAGGGCTATCAGCAGACTGGTCGCCATGGGCTTCAAGAACCTCCTTCAAGACGTTCATGGCCGCGTCGCTGGAGGCCTCTTGGAACACCGAGGTTGCGTCGAACTGCTTCTCCTGAAACTTGAGCAATCCAAGAAACTCCAGCCAACCACCCACCACTAACTCGTTCACCACGATGGCCATCAGCTGCGCTCGTGTGAGGCCCTGGTACAGTAGAGCTCGCGTCACCATATCCGAACTCGTTCCTGAAATTGTGGCATCCAGACCTATGCACACCGCGATCATATGCTCCAGCCCCTTGGCATTGTCGACCGTGTCAAGGAGAAGAGACTCCTCCACAGCTTCCTCATCGGACCCTGGTGGCAGTAGGCAGCTCAAATAGCTCTCAAAGGACGTTAATCGAAACTTCCGGTTCGTAATCTGTGAAAGGGCTGTTTGGAGGTGTGGCTGAAACTTCTCCAGAAACGCTGCGTCCGGCACCAAGAGTGCCATGCGCCCATGCAGGTTGAGACATGGGAATGAGCTGAGCACGTGCGAAACGGCCTTGAGGGTATGCTCGCCATAGTGGTGAAAGACCGCATCGTGGATAGGCGTCTCGAAGAGGAAGGACTTCAACGGCGGACCATCCGAGCCGACACAAGCCAAGTCTTCCCCGCCCGCCAGTTGGAAAGCTGCCGCACCCGCCACGATTCGTTTGGTGTTTCTCACCTTGATAGCCCAGCAGCCATCTGAACCCGTTTTTTGAGTTGGTTACTTATAAGGGAACCTTAAACCAAAAAGGGACAAAGGTGCCACTGGGCTAGCAAGTCACAACCTCGGTCAGCGACACCTGGTAAAGGTCGGGAAAGGCATGGACCAGCACCGATGACTGAGACAAGTCGGAGAGCAGGATTTTTCGCGTGGCCGTTCCCACGAGCTTGTCCACGACATGGCTGTCAGCATCCTGGCGGAAGACGTCGTGAGCTTCGTCAACCACAACCAGAGAGTAGAGGGGCATCTCAACCATGTTCGGTACCAAGACCAACTGATTGTTTTGAAGTTGCGGGGTCAGCAAAGAACTCTCGTCGCCAAAAGGGTTGTGTAGGACGTGAACTCTCGAGAGCAGCTGCTGGACACTTGATCGCCAAGGCTCTGGAGTCAAATGGCCTGCATGCCTTGTAGCCAGCCAGCGCAGGAAGTAGAAGCATAGAGATGCGCAGGGTGCTACGTACAGAATGTTCCCTTCGGGGGCCTGCTGAAGCGTATTCAGCACGTGCTGCACAGCTACGAAAGTCTTGCCCGCCCCAGCTGGGGCCGAGAGGTGTATGTCCTGGTCCTGGGCTTCCATTTCCTGGAGCCGCTCGCGCTGGTGTGGCGTCAACTCTGAGAGGCTTAGGAGGCTGCGCTCGTACATCTTGAAGAACTCCGTCTTCACGACTTGCAGCTGCCATCTACGGTGCTCTGGCAAGTTCTTCGACAACTCCGCATTCATGGCAGCCTCCAGCTCGCTGCTGAGCACGACGTCCCGCAAGCGATGCGTGGCACGGATGTCCCGAGTTTGGAGTCGGAGTGACATAGAGGGCGTACCGCTGGGCAACCTTCCCAATGCCAATGCTCCCACATCAGCTGCTGGGCAATGCAAGTTGATGATGTCTCGAAGCATCTGCTGCAAGGCTACCTGGCCCACACCCTCCACGGCATCACCCTCAGCACAGTTCAGTGCCTGTTTCTGATCTTCCAGAGCTTTGAGTTCGCGTAACTTGACATACAAGTCCGTGAAGAATGGCGTTGGTGTCATTTGGTCAAAGAAAAAATCAATAGCTTTCTGGATTCCTTGGCTTTGCACCAGCTCGGGGACTGTGGTGCCACACTCTGGAACGAGGTGAGACAAGCGCCGTATATCTTCGTTGACCTGTTCCTTCTCCTTGGCCATCTGATGGACTTGCTGAAGGACGTTGCAGCCAATGGCCCGGATCAACTGGTCAAAGGTGTCGGCGACCTGGCGGACATGATCGGTGTCAAACTCCTCCGATGTCTCCTGGCATCGCACCCTCCATCTCGAGGTCTTCCCGTCAGGAACCTGAACAAGTACGCCTCTCTGCCAAGACATCCCTCTTCGAGCATCGACGACACCTTCTTTCTGGAACTCGTAGTGCAGGAAGTCTGTGACATCCACTTCGTCATACTCCCAGACTGCCCCGTACCTTGACCAAAGGAACCCTAATTAAAATGGTTTATGGCTCATGTACCTTGATTTCTCGAAATTGTGGTGGTATAATTAGGGTATATGTATGACCCATTTGGTCTCCAGGGCACTTCTGCTTCATCAAGTCCACGGTCGCGATCTCGCACTTCTGGGATCCTCCGCAGCCAGTTCCATCCCAAAGATCCGCGTCTGCCAGCTGTTCCATTGTCAGCTTGCCCTTCCCGACTTGCCCAGGGAAATAAACGATCTTCAGGCGCTGCTTCTTCTCAACCGCCTCCATCACGCGGCCGAGCCACGCAACATACCAAGCACAGCCCCACGCTGCCGCTTGGTTGCACTCGGCCCAATTCAGCTCGGCCTGGCGCTTGGCCTCGTCCTTCTCCGCGACACTGGCGTCGCTCCGCACGACGATGGCGTTCATGGCCGCCGCCTTCTTGCGGTGCTTGGCCATCTCCTCCTCTACTTTTTGCTTCAACACCAAAAGAAAAAACATGAATGAAACGTAACGGCCCCCATATTACCCACCTTTCAGAAAACCTTTTTTGGGGGGTTCTTTATCCGCCAAAAGCAAAATCCTCTGTGCAAGGCGGCACTTCAAAGTAGTAGCCGAACGTCAGGTAGTCGCGGAGCCCATAGATCCTGCGACAGAAGCACGGCGCCCCGGGATCTTCGGGGTCGTCGGAATGCTTTCCCAGCCCATCCTCCGCTGTGCAGAGAAACACGCAGGCCACGCTTTCGCCATGCAGCTCCTGCACGAGGGCGTCCCAGCCACTCTTGAACTTGCCCGGGAAGGAGATGTAACATGATGTAGCCTTATCCTGGATGTGCCCGCGGAAGCTGATGTCATCCGTGCTGGCCACCACCGCCGGGCCCTCCCTCAGCGTGAACACCAGGTCTAAAGGACAAGGTGTGGCCGGAACTGTCGGAGCCTCGGCTGGAACTGGCCCGGCCTCGGCCGGAGCTGGGCCATGATGGGGTGCAAAAATGGCCCTCCGGTTGGTTACGCAGCAGCAACTCGCAGCTTGCGAGCTCAATGAGGCTCCCATGGCTCACGCCACGCAAGCAGACAGGCAGCAGGTGTTTGCAGAGGTCAGGATCTGTGGTAGTGTAGTAAGAAGTATGTTCAAAGCTATCACACAGTGCAGCAACGCGAAAAAACTATCATGCGCACTGAGTCACTTAGGCCGAAATACTGTGCAGCTTGTAGGGCTGTGGCAAGGGCACTCGACGTCGCACATAAAGGCAATCACGCAAATGACAGCTTCAGAAGACTCATGCTGTGCTTGGGTGGACATTGCCACAAACTGAGGTCGCATCCTCAGCGGCACGGATGCATCGCCGACCTCAGATCAACAGCTGTAGTCAGGTACAAACCAAACAGTCTTGAGCCCTTGCTGACCCTAAGGGTCCATGCACTCATATAGTATAAGCTTGGGCCATCCTGGGCCCCAACGCGTCTATATGGCAACCCTCCTAAGGCCCAAGTAAATATACGATGTACACGTTCAGACTTTGGAGCAACGATTGCAAGGCAAGCCAGTCTTGCCGGTCTAGGGTTTATGGTTTGGGGATTAGGGTTTAGGGTTTAGGGTTTGGGGTTATTTTTGGTTTGGGCTTTACGGGGGCAGACCGGGAGCTCATTCTAGGGCCCCTGGCGGAGTCGAGGTGTCCGAGCGCGGCGCATCTGCCCATAAGTGTCCTACATGTCCTACACCCTTTTGCAACCCTACACCCCAATCCCTTTTTTGCATCCTCCCTACACCCTGCATACATCTCGTATCTATGGAAGCCATGGCTTGCAGATGCAGTATACGGCTTCTGCGCTGCAGAGTAGCCTAAATCCAGCAATTGGGTTGAAGGTTATGGCAGGATGACCAATGATTCGTGCTGTGACCGAGCACCTAATGCGCTGAAATGTTGCCGCGGTGCTTCCACTTTATTGTCGCCAAACTGAGCCCCGGTGCGGGTGGCGGCCGTTCGGAGCATTCAGTGCCCTGTCGGGGAGTGCTGCTTAAGCAAACAAAGGATGTAAGCACAACAAAGCAAGTGCACAAAGAATGAGCTGTAGCGCATCACTTCCACGATACGGGCTTTAGGGGTGGGGGAGCCGGGCATATACTATCCGGACAATGATCTAAATCTTCTATTCTTTTTTTAATGTTGTTGCCGCGAGCCCCTTTCGAATCTGAACGCTATATCCTCCAAGATCCGAGGAGGCTTTGGGTCAGACGGGCTTAGGGTTTGGGGGGGTTTATGGGGGGTTAGCTGATGAAAACAACGCATGGAGAAATCGTCGTTCCAGGTTCATACGATGGGGGGGGGGTGGGTTAGTGGAGTGGGGTGTTCAGGGTAATGATAAAGGTGCTCGGATGTCTTTTCGGGGCTTAGGGTTTGGGGCTAGATGCCGATAACATTTACGAGACCCATCAGGAACCTAGAGATACAAAGGGTGCCCTTTCTGGCTTTAAGGGAATTATAAGGGAACCCCAGCCCAAAAAAAAGGAAATGAGGGCCTACTCCGGGTCCGAGTCTAGTGTCTTTTTTGGCCAGGGCTCCGTCTAGATGCCAGAAGGCCTCACCAATACTACCAAAACAAGCTGTGGAACATCGGAAAAATTCAGATGTCGGAAGCGCCTGTCCGCACCAAAGCACCTGGGAAACCACATGCGTTTCTTTGCGACCCCTAGAAGCAAACGCTTCGTGCTATCAGCCCTAAACGTCTTGTTTCTTTTTCCCCATCGCTGGAACTTTGCCCATTCTGCCCGCAAGGTCGTCTAAGCAAGCGCCTCACTACTGCGAGAAGCGCCTCAAGGAGTTGCCGTAGCGCCTCAAGGTGAACGGGACAAGGCAGCCGTGGGGTTTAGGGTTTAGGGTTTAGGGTCTAGGGTTAGGGTTTAGGGGTTAGGGGTTAGGGGTTAGGGGTTAGGGGTTAGGGTCCCCAACGGATAACCTGGCATCGAGTACCAGGCAACTTCGGGCTCTGAACTTTTGAAACCTTTTTTGCATTCGGACGCCTTTGGTCCTTTGATTGATCCCTAAACCCAAATCCCCATAAACCCTCTAAACCAAAGCCTTCGCAGTGAAGGGTTTAGAGAATAGGGCTTATAGGGCTTAGTAAGTTTCGTAAACTTATGGTTAAGGGCCAAGGGTTTAGGGCTTACAGCAGGTTGGGTTGGGAGGGTTCTCAGGCAAATAGTAGCAAGCGCCCCGAAAACCTAAAGCCCAGGTGTACAAATTTGGGGCCAGCTGCATCGAGAGCGGTCGGCTGATCAACTTCTCAGAGGGGAGGTTCTCCTCAGTGTCTTCTTCTTATGGTTGAGGGCTTAGACTGGGGATGTTCCCCCTTATACTAACAGTCCTGAATAGGGCTTCTGAAACATATTCCTGAATATGATCCTCCTAAACCCCCTAAACCCGCTAAACCCTAAACTCTGAGCCCTAAACCCTAAACCCAATAAGGGCAATTGGGAGTGTTTGAGTTTTCTGGATTGAAAGCTCCGGGTTCAGAACCTCGCTGCACAAGCTTTCAGAAAACCTCTAGGGGTTGTACGCTGGACCCTTAAGGTTGTACCCTTGGGTTTTGGGGACCCAATTTAAAGACCCTCAAGGTAGTACACGGGCCATACTCGGAGAGTATATTCAGGGGAACCTCTTCGGGGCACAACCTTAAAGGTGCGAGTCTTAATCCCTTGACAACGACAAGCCCGAAGTCGTAACCCTTTTTGTGCAGCCCTAAACTGCCCAAACACAGGCTGACGACAGTTCTGACGGAACCCCCATAATACTCGGGCATACGCCGTACAGTCTGAAACATAATGGTCCTAAATCGAAAGCCCGAACCCTACACCCCAATCTCTCGAAACCCTCACCCCCAAGCCCCAGAATCACCCCATAATTCTAGTCACCACAAAACCACCCCATATTTATAGTCACCCCAGCACCCCACAATGACCTGATACTTACCCTATACCCCCCCTAACTCTCCGGGGCTTCATCAGATGTAGGCGGCTATTCCACTTTGGGGGCTTAAGGCACAGAGTTTTTTGGGGTTTAAGGAGTTTGGGGGGTGGGTATGTGCTTCTAGCCCCTACAGTTTCCCGGAGATTGCTCCTGAATGCCTGTAAACCCCCTTGCCTAAACTCCGTAAAGCTCCTCGAAACTCCTAAGACCGAGACCTTCTGATTCTACTCTCAACAAAGGTACAAATTCCCGCAACCCTGACCTACGGTTTGGTTAACCCTAAACCCCACAGCCAATATTAGAACCATTACAGGTCAAACACCATTGACATTTTGTGCCAAATTTAACAGACCGCAGTTTCTTAAACACTTAGTCAATAAACGCGATGTTGCCCTAAACCCTTTTGAACCCAGGCTCGGACAAGCTTGCTGGGAGTCCCGCCCTAAATCCTAAACCCTAAACCCTAAGCCCTAAAACCTAAACCCCTAAACCCTAAACCCTGAAACTCGTTGGTTCTCCCAAGGTGCCATGCTGAAGTCGATGTCCACGCTGTCGGCATCGTTGCCCTAACCCATGACACGACTTTTTGGGGTTTGGGGTTTTACGTAGAGGGTTTCGGGTTTAGGGGGGGATTTGGGGTTTAGGGTTCAGGGGTTTGCGGTGTAGGGTTTGGTGTTCAGGGGTTTCGGGTTTCGGGCATGTGGGGTTTAGGGTGTTTAAGGTTGGACTGTTGGGTCTCCCTGGCCTAAGTACCTGGCAGTGAGGCCATCGACCATGTGCCCCCCAAGGCCCCATAATCTTAGGGTAGTTACATGGTCACTCAATATGGGCCATACAACCCAAGGGCCCATACATCAGAACCCTTTGAAAAGGGTAAGGGACCATTTTAAGTGACCAAGACACCACCCTACGATTCACACAAAAAAAAAGCGGGTGCAATAGGATGACGGGTTTAGGGCTGTCGACGCTTCGGGAACCATAACTCCCCCCCCCCACCCTAAGAGTCCGAAAAGCCCTGAAACTGCCCATGCCCCCCGGTTAAGGGTCTAGGGTCCCCTCAAAACCCCACCCGTTAAAACGCCTGCCCATCGACCACTTGACGGGTGAAGTGCGTCAGCATACGCGAGGCATACTCCTTTGGCGGAATCGTTGCCTGCCACGTCAAGGCAGGATTCAGGTTCTCAGGTTTCGGTGGTTTCGGGTTCAACCCTAAACCCTAAACCCTAAACCCCAAACCCTAAACCCTATTGGGTTCAGATGCTTTTGCCACACGTCTAGCGTCTGCTCCAAGGGCCTACTGATGAAGGGTGCCCAGGGTGTTTCGGGTTTCGGGTTCAGGGTGTTAGGCAAGATACCCCGAGAAATAGTAGGGTTAGGGTTTAGGGTTTAGGGTTTAGGATATCCGAACCCCTCTTCGGCTTCACATGTCGGTCGCCTTGTTGCACTCGCAGACTTTGACGCACCTGGCGATGGTTTTGATTTTGGGGCCATCTGGTTTGTAGAGTTTGGGTTGCTTCCGGGTGTTCCGGATGTGTCGAAGGCTACATGTATCCCTAAACCCTAAACCCTAAACCGTAAACTTCCTAAACCCCTTCTCTTCGGCTTGAAAGTACCCCCGGGGGCCTCGCCACGCGCTTGCCGTTGGTCCAGACTTGCAGGAAGTCGATCAGGGACACGTACACTAACAAGTCCTGAACCCGGGCACGAACGACGGGGATACTCTCAACTTTTGAGTTGCAAAGCTTTGCCTAGGGTTTCAGGCACAGCGACGGAGGCAGCACAAAGTATTCAGAATACAAGCCCCGCTAAGCATCGTCATCTTCTAGTTCACACCCAGGGGCCCCAAAACCCTAAACCCCAATTAGCCTAACCCCCTAACCCTAAACCCTACAGAAGTTGGAACATCCTTATCCCCATGCCGAAAAAGGTGTACTAAAGGGAATCCCCGCTCCAATCATCCTTAAACTATGTTCCAACCTTCTGGAGTGTGGAGTGTACTGTAACCTACCCTAAGCATCCTGCCCTGTTCCAGTCTCTCCTGGGGGCACAGCGTCACACGGCCACTTGGATGATATAAGAAAAATGGAACAGCACAAGAAGAGAATAATAAAACATGAATAGTAAAGGCATGGGACTATATAAGAATATAATAAGTGCACCCTTTCTGAGCATCTGGACATAAACTGAAACCCCAAGTGCTGACAGTGCAGGTCGCGAGCCCCCAAACCACCTAAAGTTCGTCCCCAAACAAGCCACAACCTTAGGGGTACGAGTCTTAATCCCTTGAAAAAATAGGGCAAAATTTTAACAACATTTCGAACGTTGCGCCGTAGGGATTGTCACACACAGAATCAACCTAAAGCCAGATGTCACTAAACCCTAACAGCGAAACCCTCAACCCTCAAACCTGAACCTGTGGCACCCTCACGCCAACACATGCCCAAACCTTCCCAAACGCCAAGACCATGCGAGTCCTTGCCATTCTTTCCTGGGCACCTGTCAAGAGTTTGGGACCCCTAGAAGGGACCCTTAATCTTCTTCCCTTATATACAGTAACCACTATATGCCTTTTATATATATATATGTATTAGTCCCTACATACCTAAGTCGCCCCTAAATAAATCCGAAATAACCCCTAAGGCTTGCAAGGTATGAACTCTCAGGGTAGTTACATGGTCCCTTAGTATGGGCACCTGTCAAGAGTTGTGGTGGATTCTCAGGGCTCGTGGCTTGAAGCTGGGCAGGGTGGGATCGCCTCGATGGGTTTAGGGTTTAGGTTTAAGGGTTTAAAGGGTTTAAGCTGGCGCGGGGGGCTTCCAGAAACGAGGGGTGCCGATTTTGTTGTTTGTGTAGCAAGGATTCTCGTGTCTTGGGGTACATGAAGGACAAGTACCCTAAACTCTAGACCTCCACACCCCCAGACCCCCAGTTCTCTTGGGAAATGCCCATCGCATGACGTCTGCGAATCTCCCCCCAAAAAGACCGCATGTCCATGAACTCCTTACCAGGGCCTTGGCCACTCAACGAACGACGTTCCGGTGACTAACAGAACCTCAAAAAACCAACAAAGATATGGTCAGTTCTTTAAATCATGGTCCCTTGTTGGGTGCCCTGAAAGAATAGCCGCCCTTAAAATAAGGAACCCAAAAGGCAGATGCAACACGCACTCGTGCACACAAACTGCGCGCAACACGCAACACACGCGGGCATACTAAAGATCGTCAGCTGAACCCTGGATTCGGCAAGATCTGCTGACTGTACCGAAGTTCTAGCATTTCAGGCCCAAACACATTGGCCCCTCCCTGCAGGGTTCAGGGTCTAGGTTAGACTGTTATGACAGGTTGACCGGCCCGGGTAAACCCTAAACCCTTTCTCCTAAAACTCCCTGACACCTGATTCACCCCTAACACTCTGATCCCCCTCAAATCCTGGCATCCGAAGCCTCAGACAAAAAATCCACCACCCTTAAAACCTTCACGCCCTAAAGGCCTCAGACCCTAAACCCCAATCCCTAACCCGAAACCCTAATCCCTAAACCCTAATCCCTATGCAGTTTCCTGCATCCGGACTGCTAGGCAGATGCAAAGAAGTGTGAGGGCTGAGGGATGTTTTCGGGCACCCGAAGCCCATGACCACCCCGAAGCCCCAAAAAAGGACCCTTTTCTGACCACGCCCGCTCTGCCTAAAAGGCCCTAAACCCTAAACCCTAAACCCTAAACCCTAAACCCTAAACCCTAAACCCTAAACCCTAAACCCTAAGCCCTAAGCCCTAAACCCTAAACCCTACAAGCCCTAAACCCTAAACCCTAAAACCCCAAACCCCTCAAGCCCCTTCTTCTTCCAGCGGCCTGTAAGGCGTCAACTCAGCCGGTCCAGGCGCTTCGAGCCCGGAAGGGGTCTCCTGATTGGCAGGGCCTGGAGCCCTCTGAGGTCTGTGGGAAAACAGGGTTTAGGGTTTAGGGTTTAGGGTTTAGGGTTTAGGGTTTACGGTTTGGAGTTGTGACTTTAGGATGTTAGACGTTATAGAGGGCCTAATGTGACGCAAGGGGTGAAGGGTTTAGGAGGTTAACGAACAAACAGGAC